ACACACACACACACTGACACACACTCTCACAGACCTGAGCTCATCCCCTGTCTAATCCAGACTCCAGGCTTCTGCTCGTTAAATCCCATGATGAAAGGATTCGTTATCATCCTAGAATGCACAGAGCTGTGTTGAGACGCGCCCCGACCCCCCCATGCACACCTCGCCCTTCCCTGAAATCTGGGGTGGGGTGGCACTCATCCCAACCACAGGCGCACGCTGGGAGTGAGGAGGAATGAGAGAGGAGAGGATCAGGGAACACGGAAACATAAAAGGTCCAAAAGAAAGGGATTGGGGGTTTCTGAGGCACAGGTGCCTGGTCTGTGTGCTGGTGTCTGTGCTGGGCCGTGAGGACTTCCCATCCTGCCCCTCCCCCCTGCAGGGAGAAGCGTCCTGCGGGGTCAGCCTGGGGTCACATTCCAGATTGTCCCATTCAGACAATGGGCTGCTCCCTCACTTCTCCCTCCTCCCCTCCTTCCTTCTCCCAGTCCCACCCTCTGCCTGCACGTTAGCCAGTTCAATTTCAATTCAAGATGCCTGATTGGCATGGCCAATGAGTAAAATCAGTGTTGCCAAAGCAAAACAAGTACAATTAACATAAAACAAACATCTAGAGACATTTACAATAAAGACACAATCATAAGACATTTACATATAAACATATGCAAATGAGCACTACTGGGAGACAGGCTCTCTGTTCCTCAGGCTGTGACAGGAGGTCACATACTGGGCTGCCAGTTCAACTGAGTTCCCTCCTCCCTCTCCCAGTAGGATTGGGAGTTGTTGCGATTCTGGCAGGTGTGGGATTTCTGGGTTTAGATTTGTAAATGTAGGGAAGAATATTTCTCTAATCCCAGAATATATGTCTCAGTGCAGTAGGAAGTGCACCTCTGTCTCTATTTCTCCTCACTGGCAGTGGGAGCACAGCCTGTCCTCTCTGGGCAGCCAGGTGTGCCTGTGTCGCCTAGTTTCTATGGCCAGGCTGTGGTCACTGAGCCTGTACTTCGTCTGGATAAAAGTCAGTCCAGGTCTTTGCGGCACTGGAGCCCTGCAGGTTTTCTGGGCACGCTGCCATCTGAGCTGGTTTGAAGAAAGCCAGCAGCTCCTCCTTGGGTCACTCGGGGCGCAGTGTCGGTTGAGAAGGAGTCTGTCGTGCCCTTTGCTGTGTTAACGCTTCTGCTTTCTGCCCTGCTCTCTCTCCCAGCCTGCCTCCCAGGTCAGTTTAAATCCACTGTGGGGGACCAGCAGTGCCTGCCCTGCCCGGCGAACAGCCACTCCGCCTACACCGGCTCCGCAGAGTGCCAGTGCCGGACGGGCTATTACCGGGCCGAATCGGACCCCCCCCACACGCCCTGCACCAGTGAGTACCGAGTGTCCCTGTCACACCCCGTCGCTCGGCACCCTCGGCCAAGGCCTGGACCTGATCGCCTCCCATCTGCTCCCCCTCCCCCTCTTCCAGCGCCCCCCTCGGCCCCCCGCAGCGTGGTGTCCCACATCAACGACACTTCGGTCGCCCTGGAGTGGAGCGAGCCGCTGGACCGCGGGGGGCGCTCCGACCTCGTCTACGAGGTGCTGTGCCGGCGCTGCGGCGCCGCGGGCGGGTCCTGCTCGCCCTGCGAGGAGAGCGTGTCGTACCGGCCGGCGCAGCGCGGGCTCCCCGGCCGCCGCGTGGTCGTGTGGGGGCTGGCCCCCTTCACCACCTACAGCTTCGAGATCCGGGCTCTGAACGCGGTGTCGCCACGCAGCCCCACCCCCCCGCCCAGCGAGACCGTCAACATCACCACGAACAGAGACGGTGAGGGGGAGGGGATACTGAGAGGGACTGGGCTGGCATTTGGGATAGGGCATTGTGTGGAGGGAGGAATAGGTGGGCTGAGTGAATGGTGGGAGGAGTTAGATGAGGATTGGGTGGGGCTAATGATGAGATGAGCTGGGTGACTGGACAGAGCTAGTGGTGGGAGGAGCTAGGAGCTGGGTGGGGCTAGTGGTGGGAGGAGCTAGGTGACTAGGTGGATCTAATGGTGGGTGGAGCTAGATGAGGAGTGGGTGGAGCTGAGGATGGGAGGGGCCAGGGTGGGTGGGGCTAATGGTGGGAGGGGCTGATCAGTATCAGGGGAGTGGGAGAGTAGTGTGAGGTGCAGTGTAGTGGGGCGTGTGAGGAAGAGAAGGGGAGTGGGAGAGAGGATAGCACAGTGGGGTGAAAAAGGAGGAGGGGGTGGGAGACATCTGCCTCGGCTTCTGTGCTGTTGTCTTCAGACACTGCATGTCTAATCTATCTGTCCGCGCGCACAGTGCCGCTGCCCGTGTCCGACATCAAGGATAAAGAGGTGACCGACAGCAGCCTGACCCTCTCCTGGCCCAGCCCAGCCCAGCCCCACTACAGCATCCTGGACTACGAGGTCAAGTACTATGAGAAGGTGAGAGAGAGGGAAGAGGAGGAACGATGCTGGTTTATTGTCCATTGAGCTGTTCTCGTGAGTCGCTGTGTTACACTTCCTGCCTGCCCCTCTCCTGTGCTCACCGTCTTCTCCTCTTCCTTAGGAGAAGGGAGAGAGGGACAGTGTCCAGTTTGTCAAGAGCAGCACGAACTCCGTGGTGCTTGGCGAGCTGAAGAGAGGGACTGTGTACGTGGTCCAGGTCAGGGCCCGCACCATGGCCGGCTACGGAAGTTACAGCCCACTCGTGTCCTTCCGCACCCAGCCGAACGGTAAGAGTCTTCTGCAC